TCAGACCCGGGCAGCCTTCCTAGGGCTCTTCCTGGCTGCGGAGCCAGGGCCGGCAGCACGGGGCGGGGGACTACTTACACGGAGCCGGATACCCGAACCTCTCTGGGCTCTTGCTGAGCAGGGCGTTCTTAATGTGGCTGCGGCCCACCCCGCTGGCACCTGTGCAGGACGAGAGCGGTCAGTGCCCCCAAGAGGCTGCTCCTGTGCTGGGGACGGGGAGGGGATCCCAGGACGGCAGATGGCGGGAGGGATGGAGCAGGCTGAGCCACCCCCAGGAGCAATAGGGTAATGGCTGCTCAGCGTCGCCCCCGTGGAACGCACCAGACTCGGGAGCCCCCGGTCTGTCAGTGCAGCCTGAGGTGGGGCAGCGCGTGTCCAGTCCCAGAGCCAGCCCCTGGCTTCCTCATGGACTGGGCCAGGCAGAGCCTCGGCCCCGAGGTCCACATCCTCCTTGGTGCCTAACGCCCCGTGAGACCAACCAGAGTTAGGCACCGTTCAGGGTCTAGACCGTAGTGTCCTCACCAACATGAACCCAAATTACCCAAAGGAATTAATTCAACCACATCAAATCCCTCCGTGGACTTTCGTTTCGCATTCAAGGGGCCTTAATTACATTTGGTTTGAAATGACGTAAGATGGACCCAAGTAAGGCCACTAACTCTGCAAGGGCCCGTCTACACAGCAGGGCTCGAGCCGGAATAAGCCGTGCAACGTCAGCTATGTGAATTGCACAGCTGAAGTGGAAATAGCCTAGCGGCTTCCGGCGGTCTCCACTGCGGGCCGTGGAAGGAAGAGCACTCCCCCCCACTTCCTCCTCCTGCAGAGAGGGTTGCCGGAGTCGGAAGAAGCCCTCCGGCTCGCCGGGATTTCGAAATGAAGGCTGGCAGCGGAGACACGCCTGCGGAATAACCTCACATTCCAAAATAACACTTGTGTAGACGCACCCCAGAGAGCCCACACAGGGTCTGATGTGGTTTAACGAACCCACTTTGAATGCTCGTTAGAACAACGTTCCTACTGCCCCCACGTACATGTGCCCTGAGTCTCAGACCAAGGGGTCTGCGCTGTCCGTGCACGCTCAGCCCCAGGCTGGATTGCCGCTCTTAGGTTTAAACAAAACGTTGTTTTAAGGATCCAGGGCTTGATCCAAAGTCCAGTCCGGCCACTGGAAACACTCCCATTGTGCGGGATCAGCCCCGTGTTCCAGGAGGAACCGAGCAGGCCAGAGTCAGGCTGAGGGTCAATGCCAGAATAGGGGCAGGGCCATACCTATCAGCACTAGGGTCCTCCTCTTGAAGGCTGGCAGCCTCACCACCTCCTCATACGAAACCACGTCCAGCTGGTCAAAAACTGGGGGAGAAGGGGAACCAGACCAAGAGCGCATCAGAGCCAGTCCGAACGCAAGGTCCAGGCACATCCCTGCCCAGGGCCGCTGGGACGTACGGGCATCGAGACAGAACTGCATTGCCGCCCACAACTCGCACTTTCCATCAGCAGGCCTCAGGTTAGCCCCCTGCAAACATGGGGAAACTGAGGCACACCGGGGCCACGACTTGCCTGTTGGGCAGGAGAGGCACCAAGCTATTTCCAAATTCAGTGACTAGCCTCAGTTGAAAAAATGGGGATTTCTTGTAAGTCCCATAAACACCCTGACTCTTCCTTCCCACGTGGCGTCACCATTCAGCTAATGTTTGAAACCAAAGAAAGAGGAAATGAAACGCTCCAAACAACCTTCTCCCTGTTTGGTTTGGCAGGCTCCCTCCCTTCCAAGCAGCCTGGAGCTCGTCACCTTGGCCCTGGCACCACAGAACCCAGCCATGCTCCCAGGGCGCCGTCCGAGGTGCGAGTTACCCGGGGCTTTCAGAGGGCAGCCGCGGTGACACGGGCAGCGGATCCCATCCTCTGCCCACGCGTCTGCAGACTTGAGGCTCACACAGGTCTCTGGGGCCTCGGTGGCCCTGGCTTGTTAGTCAGTTTCAGGTCCTGGGCATTAAAACCTCACCCCTACAACAGAGCGGGGCTGGCTGGGCTGAGCTCATGGAGGATCAAAGCAAGACATCCCCTTCCCTCCCGTGCGCCCCCTTACGCCTCGGCACTCCCCAGACAAAGCCGGCAGGCGGGGGCCTCCGAGGGGAAATCAAGGGCCATTCACCGGATGACGTGCACCGGAGGCGGCTGTTCCTGGGAGGACGAGAGCTGGCGCTGGGCAAGAACCTTTCCCCAGGCTCGCGGGGGGCGGGGGGAGTCCCCATCCCAAGCTCCCAGGGTGCAGTGCCAGGGAGCGGGGGCTAAGTGATCCCAAGGAGGCAGTTCCCACAGGCCCGGGGAGCCCACTGCAGAGGAGGGGGGCTCCCGGCCCCGGCCCCGGGCTGCGACATACACGGCCCCACCAGCCCCGCCCCAGGAGGCTGCGCGGGGGCGATAGCTGTGGGGGCTGCTTACTTGAGCTGTGCTTGGCCAGGTACTTGTCTTTGCACTTCTTCTTCTTCCCAAAGGGGCTGCAGCTCTGGGCCTCCCTCTGGCCGGCCTGGCTCTCCCTGGCGACCACACGAGAGGGGGCTGATCGGGTCAGGTCTAGCTCCAAACCCAGCGACCCCTGGAGCAGCAGCATTTCCCAAGGGCCCAGGGGGGTCTCCTTGCCAGACCCAGCACCCTCAGCAAGGTGATCAGGGCCTCGCAGGGCTAGAGCCATGGGTCACTGGGGCCCCTCTGCCGAGCTCTCCACCCCTGGCAGCCTGATCGAGTCCCACCCCCACGGGTGCTGGGAGGGGGCCACCCCCGGGGAAGCCCACAGAGCCTGCTGCTGGGCACCCCCCATCCGCTACCATTCCTGCAGCTCGGGGGAGGGGATCAGTCCTGCCGACTCCAGCGAGGACCCTTCCACCCGGCCCTGCCACCAGTTGCTGTCGTCCTTGTTGATGATCTGGATGATGTCCCCAGTCTTGAACTTCAGGCCCGCCTCCTTGCAGGGGATCAGGCTGTCGGCCTTGGGGTCGTAGTCAAACTGGGCCCTCATGAACATCTGGGGAAGAGGACCCGGGTCAGCCAACCCCGGCTCCCGGGCCGTCCCCAGCAGCGACCCAACAAGCTGGGGCAAGAGATTAACTGGCCCAGACCTCAACTCCCTCCGACCCTGACCCCTTTCAGACCCTGCCTGCAGCTGGAGAAGCCGGAGATGCCAGAGCACAGCGCCTGGGGGCACCTCGAGTTAGCTCCCGTCCACACTCCCCTCACCACCCAGGGGTGAGCGCCACCCGAGACCGAGCGCTGCGCCTGGCCCTGGCGGCCTGTCCTCGGGCAGGGAAGGGCGGGACTCCCAGGGAGCTCAGAGAGCACGTCAGGCAGGCGCTGCCAGAGCTCAGGACACAAGAATAGTGTGGGAATAGTGTGGGAATAGTGACCATAATATAACAACATTGAACATTCCTGTGGTGGGAAGAACACCTCAGCAGTCCAGCACCCTGGCATTTACTTTCAAAAAGGGGAATTACACAAAAATGAGGAGGTTAGTTAAACAGAAATTAAAAGGCACAGTGACTAGAGCCAAATCCCTGAAAGCTGCATGGAAACTTTTTAAAGACACCATAATAGAGGCCCAACTTAAATGTAGACCCCTAATTAAAAAACATAGCAAGAGACCTAAAAAAGAGTCACCGTGGCTTAACCACCATGTAAAAGAAGCAGTGAGGGACAAAAAGGTATCTTTTAAGAAGTGGAAGTCCAATCCTAGTGAGATAAATAGAAAGGAACAGAAACACTGTCAAATCAAGTGTAAACATGTAATAAGAAAAGCAAAAAAAGATTTTGAGGAACAGCTAGCCAAAAACACATAAAGAAACAGCAAAATGTTTTTTAAGTACATTAGAAGCAGGAAGCCTGCTAAAAAACCTGTGGGTCCCCTAGATGATCGAGCTATAAAAGGAGCAATCAAGGACAATAAAGCCATTGTGGAGAAACTAAATGATTTCTTTGCTTCAATCTTCACGGCTGAGGATGTTGGGGAGATTCCTGAATCTGCACCGTCCCTTGTGGATGATGAATCTGAGGAACTGTCCCGGATTGAAGTATCATTAGAGGAGGTTTTGGAACAAATAGAAAAACTTAATGTTAACAAATCTCCAGGACCGGATATCATTCATCCAAGGGTTCTAAAAGAACTCAAATGGAAAATTGCTGAGCTATTATCTGTGGTTTGTAACCTATCCTTTAAATCAGCTTCCGT